ACCGACCATTGTAGGCGGGTACCGACCAAATATCACGGAATTTCCATGGCACGCCACGATGTACCGCGATGCACCAAGCGGGCCAAAGAAATTCTTTTGTGGAGCATCCATTATTCAAGAAAACCTCTTGATAACGGCAGCTCATTGTGTATTTGATGAGAACACTAGGCAGCTAATTGACGCCAGTCAAATTTATATATTAGCGGGAAACGTTTTTCGCGATTACGATTATCCCTATCATAATCCAAACCTCGTTAAAAGGAATCAGGTTTGCTAGTGTATATTTCCAATGTAAATTAATTTATACAGAATATTTCAATCATAAATGTTTACATATGTGCCTTCTTGCAGGTGAAACATATTTACATCGTACGCAATTATCTAGGACTTATAGGAAATTACCTCTGGGATATCGCGATATTAGAACTCGTCACACCGTTTGTCTTGTCAACTTGGTTGGTTCCCGTATGTATAGACACTTTAAGCGACAGGAGTGTATTGGAACCGGGCTCTTACGGAAAGGTAGCGGGATTCGGTAGAACCGCATTCGGTGACTCTAGTGCAGTCTTACAGACTCTGACCGTGCCTGTAATTTCGACCAGTCAATGCAAATCCGCCAGCCAAAATGCTAGTACGGAACAATTTATCACTAATGATAAGTTTTGCGCAGGTTACACAAATGGTTAGTAACATGATGAATTATGTGACATCAATTAGCACGTGTTGCATTCTTTTATTAAATTCATCAGAAATATATTTACAAAAGAAATTATTTTATTTATACAGAAGTTATACAGGAGAAACTAAGAAAAGAGCAAATAAAAGAATGACTGTTCTGTGCAAAGATGAAAAGTAAAAAGATAACTTACGAAAGCATTTTTTGTTTCAGGTTCTTCTGTTTGTGACGGTGACAGTGGCGGCGGATTAGTTTTTAAAACTAATGGTTTGTGGTATCTTCGAGGTATCGTTAGCGTTTCCCTCGGTACGATACGAGACGGTGGGACTTATCATTGCGACAACTACTTATATTCATTATATACAGAAGTATCCAGGCATATTTCATGGGTACAAGATGTTATTTTAAAAATAGAACAAAGTCAGACGCATAAATTATGCTCAAACGAGTCTCAAACGAGGTGTTCTTAATTTTTTTTTTTTTAATTTTGATTCGATTGGTACCACCGATTATACGCATTCATTGAAACAAGGCACTTATTTCGTGCCTTAGCATTAAGTTAATACTATCGATAAATTATTTATATTCTTTGTTGAATGCGTAATTATGTGAAGTTGCAATTTTGTTGAATGGAACAATTAAGAACTTGAAAAATAATTTTTTGTATGTATGTGATAAATGAGATTAATTTCACAATTTTAGGTACGCTTATTAC